CTACAGTGCAGACTAGCAGGCAGGGTCAGAATCAAATGCTTCAGCTCTGCTCACACTCAGCTGCAAAGAAAGGCCAGAGTCAACATAGCAAAGGTTGAGCCTGGCATGGTGATGTAACTGCAGCATTCTGGGAAGCTGAGGCAGGAGGATCTCAAGTTTGAGCCTAGGCTGAGCAAATTAGAAACTTGGTGAGACTCTGTCTTAAAGTAAAATAATAATAATAATAATAATAAAAGGGCTGAGGATCTCACTTAGTGCAGAGGCCCTATGTTTAGTCCCCAGTAACACACATACACACATGTATATACACACAAAAGCACACGCACATACAACAAAGATCATGGTGGCAGTGAACAAATGTAGACATTGATTAAGGCTCATTATTTCTCATTAAAGCTTGTAAAAAATAACAGCAAAAAGCCAAGATGAGCTTTTCTCTCCTCAGCAACGGTTGGGACCAACCCACAGTCCCCTAGGGACTCCACTTCCAAAGGATTCCTCTCTTCTGATTCTGCTTGAGGAAGACAGGAATAAAGGGCAGGCAGAAGGAAAAAAAGAGAAATTAAAGGGACTGCCCGCTCTCCAGATCCTCATGTTTGAAAGGTTCAGTGAGGCCTTCAAGCAATCAAATGCCACAACTTTTATTTTTAAACAGCTTTCAACTCTGAAGAAAACACTTAAGTCACCTCTAAGGTCAATGGAACTATTTGCTGAAGGGGAATTTACTGGGGTGTGGGGGAGTTTCCATCTTCCTGGGATCTTTTGTAAGCGCTTGGTCATCAAAGTTAGCCTGCAAAGCCCTCTGACTTCTGAGTGAAGGCAGGCGATGTCTCTGGTCTGAAGTTTGATGGACAGTACATTGGCTTTGCATCAAACACACGTGGCAGCAGGAACGCTCAATGCATACACTTCACTGAAACCGGGAGTGTGCGCGCCCAGATCTCTGCCTGCTCTGACACTCAGCACGGGCACCCTTTTCAGCCACAGCAGATCTTCACAGATGTATTCACTTTCTGACAACCTGTGAATAAATCAGCGTGAGCCACAAAAGTCCACCTCACCACACTATGTCTGAGAGTGCTGCTGATTCTGAGGTACATTCCAGATTTTGTGACTGTGGGGCAAAAACAACCACCAATTACATGTATGCACAGATCCTAAGGTGTTTTCACATGTCAGGTTTAAGTTTTAATGAAGATTGTACTAAATTCAATTACTTGGGAGGTGGAGGCAGGAAGATCATTATAAGGCTAACCCGGGCAGCTTAGCAAGACCTTGTCTCAAAGTAAAAAAAAAGTTGGGGAGATAGCTCAGTGCTCCCAGTGCCCACCTCCCAAAAGTAAAACCTTTATTAAAAGAAAAAATGAAGTCACATTAGTCTCCATTTTCAGTTGAAGTTAAAAGGATTAACTCATTCACCCATAGCTTCTCTAAAGACTTCTCCATTCTCTTAAATCAGCACACAGCGCTACCTAGTACTGCCGTGCTGGAAACTCTCAATTCATGATGAGCATTTGTGGAACAATGCAAGGTGGGTCTCCCATGGATTGGTGTGTCTCCTCCTCTGAAGCCAAGGTACCCTTTTGACAAGGAAGCTGTATCCTCTGAAGGAACTGGATACAGGGGCCCATACAGATTTCCTGAAAACTCTATTTTTCAAATGAGGTTTCTTTACAAATGTGGAAAGCATTTCTCTGTCACCTATCATCTTCATGAGTCTAGGGGCTCATAACCTCCTGGTCAGGACCACTTTACAGACAATGCAGGTAGAAGGGAAAGGGAAGTGGGGTTTCATTCATTCATTCATTGTTCCATTCAGCAAATAGGGCTGCCTATTCAGTACCAGGTAGGTTCCCTGCAGGCTGTGGAATGGAACAAGATAGTCCCTAGGTAAGCTGGGGATTTAGCTCAGCGGCAGGTTCTGATAAAAAAGAAAAAGAAAAAAAAAAAAAAAAAAAAAAAGATAGTCCCTAGCCTCAAAACAGGTACCTCATCATTACCTATTAATTCAGCAGATACTTATTAAATACTAAGCACTAAAGAAATAGTGAAGTTGACAAGTTACCATCTTTACAGAGTTTATGGGCTAGTGGTGAGGACAGCCATCCTAAACACAAAATAGTATGAGTGATTTCTTAATCACCACTGTGATTACTGAAAAGAGAGTCAATTACAAGGGAAAGTGTTGGAGAATCAGCAGGAAAATAGGAAACAGACCAGGAAGAAAATTACACCAAGGAAGGATGCTAGAGGCAGCACTTGGGCCCAGTCTGTACCAGCAGAGCTCAGATCAGAGGAAGGTTAGACCCACCTGGAGGCTGGGCCCACCTGGAAGCTCGACAAGTGAGACAGGAAGAGCAAGCAGCCGCCTCTGCAGGAGGTAAGAAATGGCTGCATGGAAACAGGTTGGGGCTCCCGAGGCCACCCTATTCCTTTACCTCACCCCCCACCTCCTTAATACTAGATATTTAACTCAGAGTCTTCACACCGATACATTCCCAGTCCTTTTTAAAAATCTACTTTGAGATGAGGTCTCACTAAGTTGCCAAGTTGCCCAGCCTGGGCTGAAATTTGCAATCTTCCTGCCTCAGACTCCCACAGTGCTGAGATTACAAGTGTTCACTACCACTCTGTGATTTCTTTCCTGGCTTTTTTTTTTTTAGAAAAGTTTTCTATCTAGTCCAGGCTGGCCTTGAACTCTCTACAATCCTCCTGAAAAATATTTGGATTCAGGCACACCTGGCAATTTCCTTGCATTCTTATTGATCAAGGATATTGATTAAGTGTGCCACACTGAAAGCATTATAGCATCACACTGACCCACGGAAATCAGTACCACTGCCATTCACACTGATGGACCAGCCAGTGCTCAGGATGTTGAGGTCCCTTGGCCCAGATCAGAGGCTCCTTGGTGGCTGAGTGACCGGGATCTGTGTCGTTGCTTAGCCACAGCGTCTCCACTGCCAGCCCTGGCTATGCGAAGGGCGAGTGCTTCAAATCGCACCTCTCAGTCTGATCCCCATTTAGTTACTTTTTTTTTTTTTTTTTTTTTTGGTAAGGTGATCAAACTCACTGATCACCGCTTACCAGGAGAGGCTCTGAGGTGTGAACCACCTCTGTGATCCCCATCACACAGGCAGTGGGTGCCATCGGGGCTCTTACAGGAACAGAGGCAGTTGGTGGAAGAACTCCTTACCTCCTGGGATTATCTGGAAGTCAGCAGACATTCTGGGCCTATGTAGAGACAGGCTCCCCCTGCTGGCTTAGTACCACTGAGGTAGGAGCCAGGTGGAGGGGCACAGTAGTGCCTCCTGATGAGGAAGGAAAGAGTGAGAAGACTACAAATCATTCATGTAATTTGTTGTTGTTATTGGAGGCAGGGTCTTGCTGTGTATTCAGGCTGGCCTTGAACACATGGTGATCCTTCTGCCTCAGCTTCCCCAGTGCTGGGATTACAGGCATGTATTGACATGACTGGCTTTCATGTAATTTTTTTACTTAAGGGAGACTCATTAGTTATGTGTTACCTGTAGATTCTCACAGGTGTCGACACAGTCATAAATAAATTTAGCCAAAGTGTGGGATTACAAGATGGGCCAGAGATGACTGGAGTAGTCAATAACCCAGCAGCTCTGAGAACATTTCAGTCTTTATTCTTAACGATGCAAATACTATGTCACACAGCCAAGAAGACCTCAAATCTTACCAACAAATTCAGCCAAAATCAGTTTAACTGACGCGGCCCAAGCTGGTCTGTAGGGAAAGGAACTCAGTGCCGTGGGCATGTGAATCAGCGTAGGGGTCCCGAGGAAACCTGTTCAGACAAGACGATGCATTCCTGTGTCCTACGCCTGCTAAACTCACTCTTGGGAACACATCTCAAGGCAACAGCTCCAGAGGAATAGCAATTAGCACGACTGTCTGTACAGCTAGAGGCTGGCTACCTCAAAGCCTGCTCTCTGAATGGTGCCAATAGAAAGCAGAGCCCTGAGCCTGGAACTTGGATTTCATTCCAACGCTGCAATTTACTAGCTGTGCGGCTTTGGATAGTTCACTAAGTCTCTCAGTACTTAAGCTCTCTCGTGCATAAAATAGGAACGAAACAGGGTTGTGTATTACAAGTGGTCTACCCATATGCCCTGGTAGTGCCCTGCTGTGTTTCCCAAAAGGTAGCTCTTTGACTGAGGGAGATGACTTGGGTGGATCCTGCTTTCAAAGGACAAGGTGGCACCTGGAAATCTGGTTGTTTTCTTTTTTAAATCTTGAAGAGATGGTGTCTGATCCTGTTTATTCTTGTTACAAAATAGAAGGAAAGAAAAAGAAAGCTCTGCCACAACTACTAAGCAGTCCACTAAAATGCACAAGGAAGGTTTTCAAAGTGTTAAAAATCGTCTGAAGCTGAGAGGAAAACGCAGGTGAGGCTCTCACACCCATCCTAGAGTGTGAAGACGGGGGTGTCTGCAAGGATCTGAAGTGCACGCTCTTTGAGATCAGACTTCTGTGGCTGAAGTTTTATAACCCCGAGTTGCAAAGTGCTGTTTCCATTTTGAGTGAGAGAACACCTGCACAAGGTGACAGTGATTAAGCGAGGCAGGTCTCCCAGCCCTGCTGATAACCACTGCACCACATTGCCTCCGGCTGCTGCAGGAATAACGGATTCCGAGGCACGGGGTGGGCGCGCCCGGCGCAGCGGGTCGAGAGCCGTAAGCTCTCTCTCCCGTTCGCTCCCCGAGCCCCGAACGCGCCCTGCTGCCGAACCCGCTTCCACCGGCAGGGGGCGTCGAGAAGGTGGACGGAAGACTGCGGTCGGGGTCGCAGCTCAGAGTCCGGACTCCGCTGTCATTCGAGCCGGGGCTTCGCCCGGCCTTTGCAAGGGTCGGGGACGAGGGCGCGGCGAGATCCGGCCCCAAGGCCGCTGTGACAGGACCGGCTGCCACCCGGCTGGGCCGGTCCCCGTCTGCCCGGAAGCGCGAGCGCCAAGGGGGCGGGGCCGGGAAGCGCTTCCGGGGGTGGCGGGCAGGGGCGGCAGCCAGAGCGGCGGGGACGGGCCTGGCGCCGGCGGCGGCGGCGGCGGCGGCGGAGAGGGCGCCGCGGGCGGGCGATGTGAGCGCGGCACGCCGGGCAGGTGAGGCGCGCCGACCCGGGCGGCGGCCGGCGGGCGAGGTGTGGGCGGGGCGGGCATTCCCGGGCCGCCGTCCGGCTCCGTCTGGGCGCGGCGGGGCGGGCGTCTCCGCGCCTGGTCAGTGCCACGGGCCGGCCGGCAGGAGTCGAGGTCGGGCGGGGTCGGGCGGCGCGGGCACCTGCTCCGGCCAGGAGCGCGCCCCCAAGGGCTAGCCGGGCTCGGCTGCAGAGTCTGGGGCCGCTGACCAGGCCAAGGGTCGCTCCGGGGCAGCTGCCCTGGGCTCCCAGCCTCCGCCCCGGGCGTCTCAGGATCCCAGCTTCCGGGCCCACGCCTGCGGGGGCGCTGCCTTATGTGCTGGGGGTGGGGCTGGGTGATTGAGGCCCCTGGACTGGGCCGGGCTGGGCCTGGGGGTCGACCCTTCAGGAAGCTGCCAAGGACCCGCAGCTTACCCCACCGCCTTTCGCCAGGTAAACAGGAGGCGGCGCGCGGCGCCTGGTCCCGGAGGTCTCCATGGTCACTGTCTGGCTTAGTGGGTCCTGCCATTTCGGAGGGCGGCTGGGGCTGGCTAGGGGGTGTAAACAGTCCCATACTGCAGCTGTGCACTAGTCTCGGAGACTGTGTCTTGAGGTTTGGGGCAAGGTTTCCCACGCTGGGCCTCAGTTTCCCCTTGTGAGAATTGAGGGGTTAGATCAGCTTTCTAAAGACCTAGCTCTTCCATGCAGTGTACATCTGAAATAGGAAGGGCTGTCCCTGATTCAAGACATTGAGCAGTTTTCCTGAAGACTTTTTGCAAATGTGGACTTTTTTTTAGCTACTTAATGCACTTTATTTTAGACAGGTTTAGAATAATGCCACGCGGTGTTTTCTAAATCACACCTTAATCACTTTTCATCCTTTGCTGTTGTCTCTAGTTTTAGTCACATTCCGTGGAGCTTTTGCATGCAAACATTTTGTTTATATGTGCTCATTTTCTCTTTGTTCCCTAGTCCAGGCCTTCTTTGCTTCACATCTGGATTATTGCAACAGTTCTTAGCTGGTCGCTGACTCCAAGGTTCCCCCCTCCCCCATCCTTCCTTTATGCTAACGCCAAACTTACTGTATAGGAAGTTAGAAAATAGTTGAGTGCGTGCTTGCCTATTAAATGTCAAATGCGCTTCCATGTGGTGGTGGAAAGTTGTAGAAGGTTTGCTTAATTGCCAAGCAGCTTTACTCTAGGTGCTGAGACATTACCTGTTAAGAGGTGATTTTGATGAGGCAAGGCTGTGTGCTGTAGAATTAACCAGAAGGGATACAGATCACTGTAGCATAGTGGTGGGGAGGGCTTAGTGAAGGAGTGGGATTTGAGCTGCGTGTTCAAGGATGAGTAGGGTTCACATTGGAAAAGAGGAGTCAGGCCCAGTGACCCTGTGCGGTTAGTAACTGTGCCAGTCTCTTGTTAAAGAAGGGTCCCTAAAGGAGGAGATTAGGAGAGAAGATTGGTTGCACATAGCTGCCATAAAAACTTGGAACAGGGGAGCAGAGCTGAAAAAAGTATTCTTTAGGTGAGTGACAGGAGACAAGGGATGGTCCGTGTGCTGGAGACAGAAGGGAGAGGCTGGAAGCCAGATTGGCTGTGGGAGCCCATGGCAGTGATGCCACAGTTCAGAGCTGGGGTGTGTCCTCTTGCCTGCCACCTCCTGTCCAATCATTCCCCTTACTGTCTTTTCAAGCTTGTGTCCTGCTGTCCCCGCTCCACCCACCTGAACCTTTTTGGGCTTGTCCAAGTCTGGCCCTTGCAGAAGCTGGGTTTTGACTGCTTTGGGCTTTGCTCCGGTTTTTTCTCTCTGTGTGCATTTTCCATTTCACTTCCTTCAAGCCACTGCTGAAGATATACTTCCTGCAAAGGGTGTTCCCCCGTGCCTTTGTGGTACTGGGTTCAGTGCTTATTCCTCGGTCATTGAGCTTGCTCTTGTCCAAACTGGAATGGCAGGGTGAGCGCCACTGTGTCTTAATACTTCCCTCAGAGCCGTTACAGTACCTCCTTGATCCTGGAAGAGGGTAAATTCTTAGATACTTCCTGGTTGTTGTTGGTAAACATTTTTTTTTTGTGAGTTGACTTTTTCTTAAAGAAGCTGTTTGTCAGCTTTCTCTGTCATGTATAACCAATATCTGATGCTGTTGTTTTCAGCTTCGATTCTTGGGGTGCAGATCCATGAAATGAATCTTTGAAACATTAAATTGTTTACTGGTGATTCTGGGAAAAAGAAAAAAGTCATGCAATTCTTTATTTAGAGGCTTTAGGGAAATAACATCAGCTTTGGAATCAGACCTGGGTTTGCATCCTGGCAGAGCTGCTTACTGTGTGTGTGAACTTGAGCAATTTATCAAATGTCTCTGAGCCTTTTTCCTTATTTGTAATGTGTGGGATAGTACAATTTTCATTTCTTAGGGTTGCTGTGAGTTTTTAAGTGAAAATGCTATGCGAAGGAGTTAGCAAAATTTGTGGAATCTCAGTGACTGGTTACTACATTTTCATTGTTAGAGTGTATAAATTTGTCAGGGTGGAAGAATAATAGGCCACCGGGCTCTGTGAACCACTGAGTTGTGAATTCCTCCATGTGTCTAAATCCTACTTCTGCTTTCCAGTTGAAGCTCTTGTCAAAAATGTCAGTATTATGTATCTAGAATGCCATCAATATGTTTTATTGCCCTTAATTTTCATGTTACTTTAAAGTCTGCTTACTGTTTTTCATATTTCTTTTTTTTTAAACAAGGTATTGGAACTGGAGTGTTTTTTATATTTCTTGTGTCCATTTAACATTTTGTAGCTGAAAAGCTACTGATTTAGCTTAGTGAAGGCCATCAACAGGTATAGTTAAGTTTCTAACAATTGTTTTCTGGTTGTTGGCAGCATGGAAAACCTCATGGAAAAATGCAGTTTAAGGTGAGATTTTGTTTTGTTTTGTGACAGGATCTCAGCTGGCCTTGAACTCATTATGTTGTCCAGGCTGGCCTCAAACTTGTGGTGATTCTCCTGCCTCAGCCACCTGAGCGCCAGGATTAAAGGCATGCACCACTATGCCCAGCTGACTCTTGTTCTAAGGGGCAGAACATAATGTATTTTCCAGGTCCAGTGTCCCCGAGATGCCAGCAGTAAGTACATAAGATGCTGCCCCTCAATAATAATAATATTTTTACCTGTAACAAATCCTTAATTCATGATTAGAATTTTTTTTTTTTTGTCTTTTTTTTTTGAGTCAGGGTCTCGCTGTGCAGTTTAGGCTGGCCTTGAGTTCACTTTGTAGCCTAGGCTGGTCTCCAATTTGTAATGATCCTCCTGCCTTAGCCTTCTGAGTGCTAGGATTATAGGCATGAGCCACCATGTCCGGCTCTCATGATTAGAATTTAAGACCTCAGGTATGGTGGGCATATACCTGTAATCCCAGGTACTCAGGAGGTTGAGGCAGGAGTTTTGCTTGAGCCCAGGAGTTCAAAGCCATCCTGGATAACATATCAAAACCCTGGTTAAACAAACAAACAAACAAAAAATAAGAATTTAAAACACTTTTTTGCCTACTTCACTGATAGACTAAAAAGAATGGACATTTTTCAGAGAAATAGCTGCAGACCATTTGACATGTAACTTGTTGTGACCACTTACCACTGTATCAGACCCAGTGTGACATTATCTGTATAGTGCATCCTTCTATGAGAATTCTCTTTCCATTTGAAGCTGGTTAAAGCTTCAAATGTATATCAGCACTGTGGCTGGGTTAAAGTTTATTCTTATAGGCAGTAAGAGTTCTGAGTCTGGAGACTGACAAACCTAGGTTCAAATCCTGGCTTAGCCAGGCATTAGTGGGGGGACCTTGGTCTCTGGTTCTTAGCATAGATTGGGAAGAGCTGCAGTAACTGTTTCACAGTGGTGTCAGTAAGTGCAGTGCTTCCTTGGCTTAGTAACTGCTAGTCCTTAGCATCACTGGGGAAGTTAAAGAGGCCATTCCGCTCCTGTTTGCAAAGCTCAGAAGCAGCTTCTGATGTTTCACTTTAGCTAAGACAAATCTCACCCTCTTAGAATTAGTATATCTGAGCAGACCTGGAGAACGTTAACGCCTTGGTCGGAAATGTAACAGTTTGGATAAAAATGTTCCTTCAGATTCACATGAATTAATGCAGTAAGAACTCTAAACTTGTTTTCCTTTAAATTAGGATGAGTGCTTCATGAATATCCATCACAGAATGCCATTTTCTTTTCTTTCCTTTTTTTCTTTTCTTTTTTTTTTTCCTTGCATTGGGTTTCAGTAGCACCAGAATGTTTTATGCAGCCCTGGTGCTATTCCGCGGCTCCTGCTTTCCAAAGGATTAGATTGTAGCTCATGACAGCTCAATTTTAGTTTTGATCTAGACCCGAGCAGAAATATCTAGAAAAGTTATTTTTATATAGTTGTTACTGCTGTTACCATGCCTTTTCTTTCCAGTGCTTCAATCTGTGGTCTTTTTAATGACTTTTTGTATGAGAGTGAAAATTAAGAGATCTTCAGTTTATGATGGAGAAAGCTCGTCTGAGCTGTGTCTCAGGGGTCAGCAAGTGAATGAAGCAAGCAGGTGCGAATCTGGGTTTGAAATCATGAGCATCTTGCCTGAGAATAATGGATAGGGTACCTCCTGGTGCCCTAAACAACTTCCAAATCTGTAACCTTCCTTTCCTTTCTTGGAAGTGTAACTGGATATTTTTAAAGAGAGGATAGCATCGTGTGAAGCGAATTAGACTGTTGCTGGGTTAGGTGGGAATAAGCCACCTTGCTAGATTCTGCCTTCTGCCAAATGCTATTCTTCACCTCTAGGACCTTCAGCAGGAAGGGTGAAGAGCTGAGGGTGTGGCTGCCGTGGCAGTCACCAGCTTGGCTTAAGTGGTCAGTGGACTCATGCTGAGAGCCTGCCCGGTGCACACTGCCTGCAGTCCCTGCCCTCAGAGTTCATTCAAGAGTGGGACAGCTCCGTGCTGTGCAAAGCTCACAAAAAAA